ATCATGCTAACATTTGCTTATCAAATGTACATAAAAGTAATCCAATGCAACTAAGTCAAGCTATGGATGTTGAGCATCCAAGAACAATGTCTTCTTACCTGAAAAAGACCCAATCAACTGGGGTGAGTAAACGAGTTACTCAGTAGGATGAAACACATGTGTATACCTTAAAGTTTCAACGGTTCTTTGCAACGTAATATAAACGGTTACATGTGGTGCATGCCACCTAACGTCTATGTTCAAAGTGTTACTAAGGGATCACCCTAAGCTACCGTAGAATATTTTAAAAACAAACCACAATAAGTGAAGCAATTAAACAACATTGGAATAGCCAATACAAAACAGCAAGTTACAACGATTTGATATTATCAGCTTGAAACGAAATGCGAAATCAAACAATGTGGATATACTTGGACATCACGCTGGATCAAATCCAAACGCATGATAGCTATTTTGGGTTACTAGCCCGCCAGTAATTACCCTAGTGCGCACGTATGGGGAAAACACATATCTCCCGCATTAAAGCCGTACTCTAACCATAGTCAAGACAACGACGTCCTAAGTTTCCAAAATCAACAAATTGTAAACAACGTATACTAAGTATACAATGCACTTAACCACTTAACATGCACAACCAAACATGAATTCACACAATTCATCACCTAAGTCCTTAACTACAATGGCATGCTAGTATGAAATCAATTCAAGCTAGTATGAAATGAGCTTCAAATCCATGAATTTAACAACAACATATGGTTAATTACACAATTAAATCATTGGCAATAATTAAATAAAATATCTAAAGTTACACTAACCAAATCATATGATTTCAAATCTACACCAAATGAAACAAGATTAAAACAACACAATTGCAAGGTAATCAACATAGAGATTTTAGTCATGCTAACATGGTATTCATTAAATCCCTAACTTAACAATGGCATAGTCAAATATCACAACACAAATAATGACAACAATAATCTTAGAGCATCATAGTAACAACAACAAAACAACATAAGATTTCCAACTTCTAGTTTATAAGACAACAACAACATAAGAGGATACTCACTTATAAGACTTATGCAAAAATGAAACCCTAGGTTAGATTTAATCAATAGTCATCTAATACAGCCCTAGAACTTCAATTTACATGCATACAATTTATATCAACAACAAAAGAAGCAAGAAATAACAAGAGTATAAATATAGGATAACCCCTACCTCACTGGAGGATTGTTCCTCTACAATCCTTGGCAAACAAGCTCAAAATGCAAAACTGAGAAAAAGTGTTCTAGATCAAGAAGAGAGGAAGATTTGGTCTTCAAAGTGGAAGACCAAATTCCTTAAGGAGGGGGTCAAATTTCAAAAAAGGTGGCTGAGGTTTCTGATTTTTCTCAAACTACTCACTAGAGGTTTATCCCTCTAGAATCCAAGGCAAACAAGGCCAAAATGAAAAACTGTAAAAAGGTGTTCTAGATATGGAAGAGAGGAAGATTTGATCTTCAAAGTGGAAGATCAAATTCCAAAGGTAAGGGGTTTGAATTTCAGAAATGGCAACTAGGGTTTCTGGTTTTCTCAAACTGCCTTAACAGAGGATTGTCACTCTAAAATTCGAGGCAAACAACATCAAATGGAGAAACTGAAAAAAAAGTGTTCTAAATCAGGAAGAGAGGAAGATTTGATCTTCAAAGTGGAAGATCAAATTCCTATGGGAGAGGGTTCGAAATTAAGAAATGGCAGCAAGGGTTTTGTGGCTCAACAATGGTGGCTTTGAGAGAATGCAACAATTTCCTCTAACTTTTCCACTATCAATGTCTTTGTTAGCCAAACACACACACACACCAACACTACCTCTCTCACACACACACACATCCACCCTCCACTTGTCACCCATCTATGCCTCCTCACAAGGTTTCATCTCAAGCTTACACTTATCACCAATCTAGGCTTCCAAGTGTCACAATGGCAAATCAACATGTTGCCTAATGAATGAGTGACATTTGTCACTTTTTCCCCTGTTTGCAACTTAGTCCCTCTTTTAAATATCTAGCAAAAATAATTACATGGAAGTCCCTAAGACAAAATATATCAAAAACATAATTACACAGAACACCCTGAAAAATGAAAATGTTTCCCAAGAAACTATACATTCATGCCCCTACAAAATAAATATAAACGAACATACTTTTCAATGAAATTAAAAACCTACGCGGGCAGTAAAAGATAATATAACGTAATGCACGTGGTGACGGAAATCATTTCCGAGCACCGAAGCCTATCTCGAGCGCAAAACCCTAAGACAATGTGGAAAAAGAATAAATTAAATATATAAATAAAAATAAGAAAAATGAATGCCTGAAAAAGGACAAATATGACACGGTCATCACACTATAAGTGTCTCGCACCCGCACACGGTACATTCACCCATAAAGTCATCACAATCCACCCCCCTTGGAGGCCCGACGTCCCCGTCAGCACACTTCCAGTTAGATCAGGCTCTAATACCATTTGTAACAACCCACTTCACGATATGGTATGATACTGTCCGCTTTGGGCTTGAGAGAGAGGAAGCTAAGGTTTTGGCCGAAATTGAAGGCTGAACCAAGGAAGGAAAGTTGGGGCTTGCTCGTAGGTTGAACCAGGAGCAACAGAGGGCTGAGAAGGCAGCCAAGGATCGCTGGAAAATCTAAGAAGAAGGAGGTTAAGGTTTCAATCTGAAATCTTAAGGCAAGTTCTTCTTTTAACTCTTTCCCTTAGATTTCATATTCTATACATGCCTAGGTTAATTCTAGAATTAATTAGACAGTAAATTAATCATGTATGCATGCATAAACAAATTAAAAACAGTTAGTATGTTGATAAATTGTTAATTGCTTGATCTTGAGTGTTCTTGCATGAAATCTTGTTTTAATTCGTGTTAAAGATGCATATGGACTTTATAAAATTTATTGGGATCGTTTGGGACCTAGAACAGATGTTTAGAAACCTTAACAAAGGCAATCGAAATGTCCGAAGGTCGCCGGAGACGAAGAAGATGAGGAGTAGTAGGTTGGAAGGCGTCTCCCTTTTAGAGGGAGGCGGCTCCCTTAGGCTGAGAGGCAGCTCCCTCTTGGAGGGAGCTGGCTCCATGAAGGAAAGAGGCGGCTCCCTTGTGGAGAGAGCATGCTTCCATGCTGGAAGTTGGCAAATTTGGGTTTTTGGCTACTGTTTTGAGTTTTAGGATATTCCAGGGCTGTATAGGTTAATTTAGGTGTTTTAAATGACTATGATGATCATGTTAAATACTTAGAATGCATAATTTATATTCATATGCTAAGAACTTGAACAATATGAAATTTTAATTAAATTTGCATGCTGTTAATGGATGATTTATTTGCTTAATATTATTTCAGCAATTTAAATGGATGTTATATGATTTTAATCATGTATTGGCAGTATAATATAATCATATATTGATCTGATTTTTATTGTGCTTAGTTCTGGATTATTTGATGTCTTATTTTATCTGTTGCATCAAATATTGGATTGTATGGATTAATGCACCCTTAAATAATATGGGGGCACTCTAGGGATGGATTAACGGAAAAGTTAAGTCCTACCTATTTGTATATTTTAGGGACGGATTAACGAAAAAGTTAAGTCCTACCTATTCGTATCAGGCCACGGAACTAGTTGAATGACATGCCATTGAAATAATATGGTTGAATAGTTTACTTTTCTGTTTTGGATTGGATGGATTATATATGTAAAGATATGTGCCATGATTTGAGCTTGAGTCTCAGGATCAGTGGTTAGGGCGCGTATATTACCTGGGATGCCTAGCTGGATATAGTGGATAGAGGTGTGCCTTGTTAGGTCTAGGTACTCATGCCCACTTTATGTGCATTTTATATGATGCTTACTATTCAGGTTGATGTCGTCCTATAGTCCAGTGAGAGTCCTTTAGTGTGTATCTACATATATACAGATTACTTAGTTATTGTTGAATTAACCAGGATGTATATGTGTTATCGGGTCTATGTTTGGACTGTAGTATAATAGAACTTGTTTGTGGGTCTGACCCACCATTATTTTTTAGGTGTTTTTCAGTTTTAGACTTAGAGATTGTTCGTGCTGAGCAGAGACAGTCTTCATCACTCATCTACATAGGATTTCCTTTTTATTTCAGTATTAGATTTCTTTACTTCAGTTTTTAGTTGGGATTTTATTAGGAGTCCACATGATGGATTCTCGAGTTGTAATCTAGATGAATTACTGGTATCAGAGGATTTGGATATGTTTGGAGGATTATTTTATTGGATTAATTAATGGAGAATTTTATTATTTAGTTTCTTTTCAGCTTCTTTATTTATTCTTATTTCTTTTAGTATTCTATACTTGTTTATTACTTAATTGTTTGATATTTCCATCGATTTTGGGCTTTGGCCTAATCAACCCATGTCTCGAAGTCAAGAGGTATCACAGTTATGGGCTGGGATGCAGGTGGTAGCGCCATTGGCTGCTGGTGGTTGTGGGTTGGGAATGGTGGTGGCTATTATGGAGATGGGGATGGTGGCGCTGCAATCGCTAGAATCTATTGTCGGTTACGGGCATATGCAGTGGAGATGAAAAAAAGAAATATATATATAAATGTGTTAGTTTGAATATAGGGGCATTTTTGTCATTTAAGCTTATAAATATTTGGTATTAAATTGTATTTAAAAAAATGGGGGTAAATGGGTCAATTCGCATGTGTCAGAATCCAAAAAGTAATTTAAGGTGTAATTGAAAGTTAAAATCAAAATGTTCATCTAGATGAGGTTTGACCTTAACTTATTAGGTATCGGTTTACACTTATTTTTAATTAAAAATAATAATAATGCAACTATTTTTTAAAGTATAATACATACAATATATTTTTAGAAATAATTATGAGGGGAGACTATTTTTGAATCCTTTATATTTTATTTAAATAATAAATAGAGTGAAAATTAATAATATAAATTACATCATTTATTTATCCTTCCAACACTGGAAGAGGATAAGCAGCAAACACATAACATGCATAATGCTATCACAGCCTTACAAACGCTGAACCCTCTTCGTTCCAACATGACAAGCACAATCGTTAACCCTACTCTGGTTTCCTCTCCAAACCCTAAAATTCTAGTCTTTAATGAAAGATTTTGTTACATCACAACTCTTCCTCCGACCCGCACCACACCATATGCATCATTGATGTCTCGAACCACCCTGCAGGTACTGAAATGCAGCAATGACTCGGAAGAGAGGGAATTGGGTAGTTTAAAGGAGGTGTTATCAGGTATGGTGGACGAGCGAGTGGAGCAACTCTTGAACAAAGAAGATAATAGGGTTTTGTTAGATGGGTTGGAGAAGGCCACTGAGAGAGTCGAATCGGCCAAGCGAGGGCTCGCTGAGATCCAAAAACAAGAGATTGAAGCAAAGCAATTGAGGAATTACATCAACCAGCTCGAAATCAGAGCCTCCGAGGTGTGTCACTGCAATATATATATAACTAAACTGATAGAATGATTGTGTTGTGTTAGTCAAATCAGTGACTTTTATTATTTCATTCTTTCCTTCTGCAAATTTGTGTTATACATACTATTTGTCCCTCCACAATCACCAATTTTGATCTGATTTGCCTAATTTCATCCCACCCCTTGAACAGTCATTTCATAAGCCATTGTTAAAAGTATCAACCACATGCTCATTTTTTGACCCATTGACTTGGTACTCATGGTTTTCAAAAGGAGTCTCACAGTTATGAGATGTTTACACATACAAGAAGTACCCTTTTAGGACCCAGTGTTCTCGTTGGCTTGACCCTCAAGGGCTGGTGAGCGCTCCCATTTTCGGGTGGAGATCAGCTTTGATTCAGACCTTCACTTTTAAGTCTTCATATGACCATCAAGGAATTTGATTATTCATTCTTATAACATCTGTCATGACACATCCCGTTGTGTGTTCTTATAGCATCTGTCGTGACACACCCCGTTGTGTAGATATTGTCTGCTTTGTACACGGTTTTCAAAACACGTCTACACCGTTATGAAACATTTATAGATGCAAGTGTCGACAACTTCTCCCCCACACCCATACTAGAATTATAGGGGCAAATGCAAATAAAGTTTGATCATACACACATTATATATAGGGGTGCACATGATTTGGTTCGGTACGGTTCCTATTGGAACCGGAACCGGAACAGGTCTGAACGGTTCCTAAAAAAATGGAACCGGAACTAGAACCAGAACCGTGAGCAATCCGGTTTGGTTCCATGGAACCGTTGACCAAACTGAGACCGGAAGCCGAAGACTTTCGCCGAGACAGCGGCTAAATCCTTAACAACCTCTCCGGGAACAACAGATACATCTCTAGAGATCGATCCGACTGAATCCACGAATCACTGAATCAGAGGCTAAGAGGATAAACGATTTAATTATACACTTGATTAAATCAGAGGCTGAGACAGAGACCGATCTGACCGATCCAACCGAATCCACTGAATCAGAGGTTGAGAGGAGAATCGAGAGTCGCGAGTCTGTGATCTAAGAAGATAGAGACCAATCTGAAGAGAGTTCTGAGAAGATAAGAGACCAATGAGAGGGCCGAGAGTCTGAGAGGAGAGGCTGAGAGGAGAGGAGAGGAGCTGCAGAGTGAGTTTGAGAGGTTAGGTAAAATTGAGGTTTAGGTTTTGAGAATTTTGTGACTTTTGTCATTCGTGATTTTAATTTTTAATATTTTTTAGTTTTAGGAACCGGAACCGGAACCGGAACCGTGAGCGGTTCCACGGTTCTTTTGTGCAACCCTAATTATATATAGTGTTCTTGCTTTGCGACACAAAGTAATTGCTGAAGAAAATTTACATATCTGGAAAGTAACACGAGCTGAATCATGGAACTACTGTTTTTGCTTTGATGCATGCCTTGAACTATTAATTATACAAACAAGAATTTTGACAGATTTATCTTTTTGGGCTTCTTTGATTGAGGTGTTGAGAGACATTTTCTATTACTAATTATATAAATTACACATGCATGTTGGGTTTAAAGATTGCAGAAAGCCAGAGGGAAATATTTGAAGCCAGAGTGATGATTGAAGAAGCAGAGCGCTCTCTAAGCGTGGATGGTATTGGTGACGACAGAGATTCTCTCATGGAGATGGAAAGTGAAGAAATTGACAAAAATGAAGAGAGGTGGGAGTCTGTAAAAGCAGCATCCGTTTCTGCCATTGTCGGCACCCTTGCAGGACTTCCCATTTCCTTCACTCAGGTGACAACCAGTTCTCAACTCATACTCCCTTTGGCAGTCACTTTCGCTACCTGTGCATTATTTGGTGTAACCTTTCGATATGCAATAAGAAGAGACTTGGACAATGTTCAGCTTAAGACGGGGACATCTGCAGCTTTCGGCTTTGTCAAAGGTACAAACCATTACAGCCATTGTGATCCCCGTTATTTGTATTGCCAAGGGTAGACTGAAACAGACCTAGCCTTTTGACATTGTTTGTACTAAGTTACTGCTTCAAACTCAAATCCGCGTTCTTGCTTGATAATTTTGTTAACTAAGTGCTTCTAGACTGATGATGTATATAAGTTGCATTCGCAATGCAGGTCTTGCTACGCTGGATGGTGGACCGCCTTTGGAATTGGATTCCGGGAGCTTCTTGTCCCATGCTTTTGATGGTGCAGTTTTTGTGTCCCAGAATCTTTTAATCTTTCTTTTTGCATCTGTTGCCCTAGATTTCTGCTATAAGATGAGGATATTAAGTCCTTTTCCTATCAAAAAATAAGTTTCGGTGGACTAATATAAAGTGAAGAGCTGTTTATGCCAGAGACCACATTGCTTCATGTGATCTGTGGATCTTATTTCAGGCTACAAGTTGTAAGGACCGTGTTCCTAAGCTGTTCCTGCAAAACATTGGCATTAAGCCCCTACATAATTTACATTTTTTATGACATGCAAAAAATTGTAGTTTGAATGGCTGATTCCACAAAGGTTGGTCTTGCAAGAAAACAGAGACGTCCTCAAAGGATAGTCACCATCCTCTCGTCTCTCATAAAATTTGAATTTGAAAACGTACAGTTAAAATATTCCACGTTTAGAGCACACAGAATGGAAGAAAATAGATGCACCACATCCATATTGTATTTACTCGAGTCACATAATTTTCTCCATGGTGAAACGCCTATGCACATGCGTTATATCCACAATTTCTTTAACTGCCAAACTATTCATTTTATGCCTTGTTTTTCTATTACACATATATACATGCGTTTGAGTCGATATTTAACTCAGCATATTGTTATCTGTTATATCTTTCTATTCATGAGTTTCGAATGCTTTTTCATGGCATCTCAAGCTTTTATGCCTTCAACTCAAATTCTGTAATGCCATGCTAACATAAAATCGTCTCAAGACAAGCAAGATTGACAAGATGGTACAACTAGAATACATTTCTTAGACAACATTATCACATCAGAAGTTGGATAAAATGACAACAATATTCATGTTGTCATCATTTGAATGTTAATATTCAATCAAGTGTAGATTCAAATGAAAATGATACATAAAGCTGTACAATTCACTGCTTGGGCCCGTCACAGCACTTGACAGCTTGATGAGAATGGAAATTTAAACAAACCCTTTCACTCTTCCCCATTACCGAAAAGAAAGCGAAAATAGATAAAAATTAAAGTGTGATACTTATCCAAAGCTTAACTTACTGGGGGCATCTAATCTGAATGTCCGAGTGTTACAGCCGATGGATGCTGTCACGCGACCTCCAAAGGAAGTCTATGAATCCTGGAAATAAAATATTACCAAGTTATTTTTTATGAATACAATGACAACAACCATCCAGTTATAATGAAAGATGGTTTTCTCTAGGGTTTTCAGCATTTAACAGAAGGTTGAAATTTAAGACATTGAAAGCTTAGAGGATCATTTACTGTGAGCTAGACCTGATAGTCATCGTGTCTTCTAGGTGGAAGACCAAAAGCTTAATCCACTATGCCCCCGTTCATGCAAACCTTTGTTTTCCTTGATGTAGCAAAACTTTCTCCAGGTCCAACTGTGACAATGGCCTTGGTGCCTGTAACAAATTGCAAACCGACCAGGTTCAGCTAGATGCATACCTATTTTGCTATTAAATTTTTAAATCAATGCTATAATAACAAAATCAATAGTGATCAACTCTTTATTTCATTAAAACAAATTGGAGTTTCTTAATTTATGGGGGTTGCAATCACTACTGTCAACTCTCTCCATCTGACTTGGATCAGGCTTGAAAAACCGAGCCTCAAGCAGAAGATACCTATCCAATATCTGGGTTTTAGTTCAATTCAGACATGCCAAGTTGTTTACAGTCCATTTCATCAAAACAAGAAAAACAGTTTTAGACAGTATGACTATGAAGGAACTGGGTCCGGGTGGCCCGGTAGGTTCCACATGTACAGATTGCTGATGGCTCATGTATTACACGCGCATCTGCTGTACAACTCTGAGTAAGTGAAACCCTTTATTTATTTCTTTTGCCACCAGGCCCACTACTAATTGTTCATAACAATGGCCACTCACTCACTTGCAGATCCCTCACCATGGACGATTATGGTGCTTCGGAGTTTGGAGTTTTGGGGCGTTGGTAATTTTAAAAAAAATATATTTGGCAAAAAAATATTGCTAGACTTAGAATCTTGAAAAGCCATTGTTCTGTCAATATAGAAACGTTGGAATATCACTGGTGTGCTTCAGATGATCCTATTTGAGCTGTTAATTCGTCAATTTTCACTCTTTAGTTTCCTCATCTGTAGGGTTGGAATCTGAATATTATTTCTTGGTTAACTTTTTTTGGAGCTCAATCTAAGTTCATAAATTTATGTTTGGGCTAGGCTCAGGCTAGGGTAGCTTGGCTCGAGTCCGGGTTAAGACAGGGCTTTAGAAAACCAAATAGTGATTGGATTGAGCCTGGTTTGACCCAATGACCCCACTACATGATCCAATCCACCTTAGTTGCAGCCCTGAACAAAATCAGTAAACCAAGGATATAAAATATTCACATTAAACCAATGATGAGATATATACTTACATGAGATTGCTTCCCATTCTTCTCATCTTGTAAGAAATCCCTGAGAGGAATATAAGCTGCTTGCTTACAGAGTTCTAGCAGATCTGAACCAGTGTATCCCTCACACAAACTAGCAATGTGGTGAAAGTCAATATTGTCGTCTACTCTCTCACCCTTCAAAATCACCTCAAGTATCTTCTCTCTATCACCGTGGTCAGGTTTCCCAATCTCAAATACCTGAGGAAGACGCCTAAGTATTGCCTCGTCGAGGTCCATCAGACGATTGGTTGCAGCGAGGACCATAACCCGAGCATTCTCTATGAACAAATATAAAATTAGACTATTTTTAAATCCTTACATGGAATGCAGATGCACATCAACTAGGTCATCAACATAAAAATACTCACGATCTGTGGTAAAACCATCCCACAAAGCCATGAACTCAGTTTTCATGTTAGTCAACGCTTCATTGTCTGTTGCACGACGCTGTCCCAAGAAACTATCAACCTCATCAATGAATATAATAGCAGGCTGGATCTTATATGCCAAGCTAAAAACAGCTGCCACTGCAAAGAATTATGTGTTCAGTAAATGTTTAGCAAAATCCTATCTAACCAAGAAATAAGGTTGGACAAACATGAGATGGCATTTCCAGAGGTTATATAGATGTTAGCTAATGATGGTCGGCAACTCAGTGTTCGACTATCACTTATGAATAAGATAATGGCAATATATATCCATATGCTAAATGCATATAAATCACTAGATTTGTTTCTTTATTTTTTCCTTTTGAAAAACCTCTTGATACTCGTTATGGACTTGGGATAAGATACACTACAGGAAAAATTAACATAAGTTCTTGAAACAGGAAATATGACAAAAATGGCCTGTGTCATTAGTATCGCCAAAAAAACAAAAAGTACCGCCAATATGAAAGCTCATAATATTTTCTCTTCCTCTTTGTATCACCGAGGTTGTGATATGTTGACTATAGTTCAAAATACCCATGTGTTACTAATGGCATATGGATTTTTACAAATGTAAGTCTTAAGAGAAACTATTTAATATATATCTGTTGATATTAATACAAATCCGAATACTCTTTGTTAAGAATATAATGTGTTGGCAAATTCCTACTGACAATTTGAGTTAATAGTGTGTCAAAGTCTCGTGAAATCTTTTTCTACAACCTCAAAAATGGAGAAACGATTTGTGAAGAACATGGTGCAAAGTTGGTGAGGCTCAATCGCATATATAGGGCATAGGTAAATGGATGTTAGATTACCTAGATTTGATTATAAAATACGCTGAAAGCTATGTTTTTCAAAAATAGGTTTTTTGAATCAAAACTATATCAAATATTTTCAAAAATGAGTTGCTGAAAAATAGTGAGTCAAGTGATAGGTTGATCAATCAAGGGTGTTCCAGAAAGCTTCGATTAATAGCTGCACTTGATCCAATCAAGGAATTCCCAGTAGGTGGATCAACTGTAAGTTCTCTATAAAATTGCTTTGAAATCCAGCAAGCCTTGATCAAACACTTGATCCGATCAAGGAATTCCCAGTAGGTGTCCATTGAAGTGTCGGTTGATCGAACTCTACAAAAATACTGTCATGAAAAATCTCTCAAATTAGAATTCTAAAAGGATTTTACTTACCATATTACATAGGTCTCCTATATTGGTCATAAATACGGGGTTATAGTCAATCTAGGGTATTTCTCAAAGGGGCTTTTAACTCCTTATATATTATTGAGAGAATTTAAATATTTCAGAGAGAGATATCATTGAGAATTCTTTACAAATTACCATATTATATGTGATTAAAAGAACCAAAGGAAGAAGCAGAATTGAATCTATCAAGCATAGCATCAACCGGGTGATTCACAAAGAACAAGTTGAGCGGATGTCAACAGTGTTGGAGATCATACACAAGGTGTAGGTCTGTCGATGGATCAATAGCTAGACGGGTTTAGGGAGATCTTGTTTAGGTGAGGATTAGGTAATTCTAGGTTGGAATTTGGTAACTTAATTGTAACATCTTTCTCTTATAGTAAGTTTTGATCTGCTTGGACTAGGTCCCGTGGTTTTTCTCCTTCTAGGGTCTTCCATATAAAAAATATTGTGTCTCTGCTTTATTTATCTTATGCTTTATGTGTTTACGTGATTGCAATTGAGACATGAATCAAACTAATTAATTAAATTTAAATAAAAAATTAACTGTTATTCAAAAAGTTAGTTAGTTACAAATTAGTATTCATTAGACCTCCTATTTAGTCCCTCTAGGTCTAATTTTGCATGCACTGTGATGTAATCATAACCTCAGGTAAGGATCTTTATAACACCACCGCTTTAAGAGCATGGAGCATTCATAAATTTCTACAGAAACCCTATCTTAATTCTTCCAACAAATTACACAGGTAGTTGCCAATTGACATCACAAAAGGATAACCATCAAAACCCTTTTTATCAACATCTGATAGAACCCTGGACTCCTTGTGGTAACAATACTTTAAACAAATCCAGTATTATCAGAATTTAACTAACCATATAAGGACTTTCAAAGGCTTCATGTTCTGAATTTTTAATGCATAAACACATTGTAACATTTGCTGATTCATTTATCAAATGTTGTGTTTTTATGTCAAGTTGGATTCAGTACTGGAACTGATGTTGTTGAGGGAATCATTACAAAAATGCGAGAGCGGTTTCAAGAAATTATACGCATGACGAACCAAGTATAGTTTTTGTAACAACATTTGAGCATTTCACAATACAAATTTAGG